ATAAAAAAAACTAATAATAATAATAATAATAATAATAATAATAATAATAATAATAATAATAATAATAATAATAATAATAATAATAATAATAATAAGGAAAAACATGTAAAAGGGAACTAACTAACTAATGTCTTTGAACTCCAGTAGCACTTGACTGGTATGGCTCAAAATTATTAAGTAACTGCACTAACCATATGAGCATAATTGGATTGGTACAGAAACTGTTCAAATACTGTAATGCCTCACAGATGACTCGAGAACCTCTGGGCTCGGGCACACCATTTCCTTAACTCGGATACCCTTTCGGTAAATCTTGAATGTCGGCACTATATTCACGTTCTCCGCATGTGCAATTGCAGGGCTCTCTTCAACATTTACCTGCAGTGAAAGATATTATTATATTCATGTGCATGTATGAGATCTGTAATTATTCCTTTAGGAACAAAGAATTGCAAAACATATATAGGAATAATAAAAAGAAAAAATTGTGGTCGCTCACCATCAGAAAATTAACGGACGGATATCGCGTGCATAATACATCCAAGAAGGGCGATATCTGCTTGCACTGTGCATTGGAACCTGTCTTGAAATAAACGAGAGATGCGCCTGCATTTTTTTTTTTTTTTAATTAGGATGGTTAAAACATTGCTCGGCAAATAAAAAACGAGTGAAGGGAAAGTGGGAAAACCCTCACCGGACGACAAAATTGAAGCACGAAATTGGTCGAGACCAGAAACTGACTCAACTTCACCACCGAATTTCATGTTGTACACTTCCTCTCCACGCGATTTCCTAAGTGCAACTTGCGCATGAAATAGAGACTCGGCAACTTCATTGTCATCCGGGAGTTCCCTTCTCAAAACCTCATAATCCCTCACACTTTCACTCCACCGTTCGAGCTGTAATGGATAATTTGATAGCATGCAGACCATGAACATAACTTTTCTAACATATAGATAATTATAAAGCTAAAACGAAAATAACTATCTTTGTTTCTTGATATCATGCAGCCTTTTAACATTCATCTTCTATCCAAAAATAGCTTTCAAACATTTTAGAGCATTTGAAGCAACATTGAGAGTTGGTATTTAATTTTGCCGATGAAAAAAAAAATTGCTAGAAACTGTTCTCGACGAAAAATAAAAATTAGAACTTAAAATATTACTCTAATTAGTCGAAAGTTGGACAAATATACAGCTAAATGAATGAAATCTCTGAATTCTCTCACCTTGCTGTTAGACAAAGCCCTCCGAAGCAGAGCTTTAGTGTAATTAGGCTGAATACGAAGAGCTTGATTGCAGTCATCCACCGATTTTTCCCATTGACAGAGCTTATACCAACAAGCCGCTCGATTGCAGTAGAGAACAGAATTCGAGGGGTCGAGCCTCAGACCTTCTCCATAAGCCGAGCAAGCCTCGGTGAACCTTTCTGACCGGAATAGATCATTTCCACGGGCACGAGCTCGGCACACCAACTTCACATTGTTGACTAAAGTTGAGATCTCAACATTGTGTGGGTCCATCTCTTTAGCTTTCTCTACAGCTGATAGACCACTTTCAAACCTTCAAAAAATATTCATCAAAATCGCATCATCACAAGTTTTCTTCTTTCAATTTTAACTGAATGGATCTCACGCGCTACCGAGAAAATAACACAAGTTTAGCTAAGCTCACCTTCCCTTTGACAATTCCACTTGGGTTCGGACATATAATACATATGCTTCAAAATTCATCCCGAAAATCTTCTGGGGAGGATGAGGAGGACTAATGGAAGGCTCGGATTTAGGAATGTTTGACATGGCCGAAAGAGAATCATCGAGTTGGTGGAGCTTTAAGAGAGCTTCTGCCCTGCATGCACACAGCTGTAGAATTGAATTTCAGTCAGTTCAGCATGAATTCACTTTGACTTTCTGCATTATTGAAAGGGTTAGTCACAAAACAACAATAGGATTAACCTTATATTTGTAGCATAATTATGAAAAAAAATAAAATAAAATCAGACTTCACAAGAAACTTCCATTTTCCTAACTTGCCATGAGCTTCTCAATAATAATTAATATCCCTTATCAGACACAAAAAAAAAGGGAATAATCTTTCAAATGCAGAGAGAATTGGGAGAAAGCAAGACCTGAGGAGAAGCATCGGCTCCAGAGGTAATGGCGGCATCGACTTCCCTCAAAGTACTTCGCCAGTCGCCAACTCTTCGGGCATCAGCACACCTGCTCAGATGCTTCTCCACTAACTGTAACTTTTGAAATTCAACAGGATCCGGTTGGTGACCCGAAAAACAAATGTGCTTCCTCGCATTTTCAACCTGTCCTAAACTGTGTTATCCTTGGAGGAATTAGATTTCTTATATGTTGTAATAAATGCTGAACAACATGACAGTAAAGAAAATCAAGGTCATACAAGGAAACACGCGAGAGCTACTCCAAGTTTAGATAAATGCCTTTGGAAAACTAGAGTTCTTAATAGATAATAAATACAGTAAAAATGGCTAATATCGATCACCGAGCCATCGACAATCCATAATAACAATCAGCTTTCTTAAATACCAAGACAAACGACAAGGTCAATGAGTACAGTCCAAGGCGAACTAAATCCATGAGACAAAAAAACTTATATCAAACAATCCACAATTTTAAATCGATGCCCGAACTAATTTTTAATCCCACTCTAAACAAACACTTGAGACAATCAATTATTAGGATCTAACACGTAGCACACAAAAAAAAGTTCCATCACATTAATGTCAGAATCCTACATTCATAACTCCAAAACCATAATACAATGACAAGCATAAGGAACAAGATCAGGTCATCCAATCAACATTCAAACTTTTATCAGCAAAAGCTCACCTAAGGAACAAAGATCCCAATCGATGGTGAGCCTTCAGGTACCCCGGCTCGAGCCTTATTGCCTCCTCACATTCTCTAACAGCCTCAACCAACCGCCTCAAACACATCAATGCCGCTGCACGATTGAAATGATAGGCGGCATTAGCCGGAGAAATAGAAATCGCCTTGTCGTAAAATGTCAAAGCGTCCGCAAAATGGCCATTCTTGTAGCTCTCATTCCCCATCTTCTTTAATTCTTCAGGATCACTATTATTATTACTGCAAACCCCACTCGCCGTCCTTCTTCCCATATCCCCGCCAATCACGAGCCCTCTCGAGTGATTATTGGTGGACCCACCATCCGTACCGGGCTTGGATGAAAGCCCACCACCACGCATTATGCTGCCATGGCCGTAATTCACCGAGCCCGAACCGAGGACATCGGGCTTCGTGGCCCGGTTCACTATTCCGGATTTCAGGACCCTGCCAGAAGGGCAGATGTTCCCGGTGGGGACCACGTTGGTAGGAGTGGAGCTGACGGAACCCGATCCGGAGAATAACAGGTGGTGGGACCCACAGGAGCGGGACCGGGTGTGGCCAGGCCGGAAGCTCCGGGCAGCTGACGACGGGGAACTCTCAACGGAGAGCTCGCCTGAGTGGCTGTTAGGGTCGGGGCCGGATCTCCGGGGCAAATGCGAGTTGGGGACAGCCGAGGTACGGCCCGTGACCGATCCGGATGAGCTGGAGCTGCTGCTGGTAGCGGTGACGGTGGTGGCCGCCGCGGCGGCGGCGGCGGTGGGAAGTACGCCGGCGCTACGAGTTCGGAGCGGCGTTGCCGGCGAGAACAGATCGAGCTCCCGGAAGTCCGGCTTGTCGACGCTGACGCCGCCGCCGTCCTTTTCTCCGCCGGCAAGCGTGTTCCTAAACCGATCCGAAAGGGCATCCAGGGCTACTTCCGACATTGTTTTCGCCGAACGCGACGCCATTTTCAAACCCCCAGAAGCTCTAACCACCTCTATAAGTCTCACTCACTCGCCTTCCTCCCCCGCTCCAGCTGAATTCTTCAAGACTAATAATATCTCAGCAATCTGAGCTACAAGAAAAGCGGAATAAATTGAAGGGGATGAGAGATTCTGGCCTGAGGGGAACGCATGAAGGGCTGCTTCGCAAGGGAAAAGGGAGAAAATAGTTGGGAATCTCGTGTAATTAAAGATGGGGGCCGAGGCAAAGAATGATGAATGTGAAAGGTTAGTTATGAAAAAAAATCGATCTTTATTGACTAACCCTTTTTAGAGAGAGAGAGAGAGAGAGAGAGAGAGAGAGAATGGGGTTTTTACAGAGAAGAAGAAGAGAGAGAGAGATGAAGAGCATCCACTCTCTCTCTATGGGCGTCAACAGCTCCATCTTCTTCACGAGTCAGAATATTTATCACTCCATTTTTACTGCTTCTTTTACTCCTCCACACTCCTTTTTTTTCTCTATTAATTTATGTACTATTAACATGTCTGACCATGAGACTCGGAGAATTTCGAATCTGTTCCAAAAACCGAACCGAAATTACTCTGAACTGAAAAATAAATGTTGACCGTTTGACTTTCTCCAAACGGAACTGAACCGAAAAAATAATTGACACGGTTCTGAAGATTTCACAAATATCCTTACCGAGAACGAACCGAACTGAAGAATCGATATGAAGAACCGAATTATAAAATTAGATGTGTATATTAATATATTTTATGTCAACATTGATCCTGTATAATTTTTGAAAATTTTTAAAATGTAAGTAAAATATAGTTATAACAATTAGAGCACCCAGAATGTTTTGGGTCTCTTAGAAAAAAAGCACATGCATGTAGGAAATAAACCTAGCCTATAAAAAAATGTTTCACAATGCAATTAAAAGTAGACCTAGTCTAACTTATGTGGCACTAGAAAAAAGAGACTAAGTCCACATTTGGGTCTATTTTGGACCCAAGTGCAAACCCACCTAGTCATTAATTATTCACAATTTTCTTTTTCTTTTTAATAGGCCAAACACATTTTTTTGTATGCATTTATTATTACTATATTTTTATTGGTTGTTTAGTATTCTAGACCTAGTACTTTTTTATTTTGCATTGGATAGATTTTAGATTTTTTAGCTTGGGTTTGTCCATGTCATTGTGGACTTAAGTCTATTTATTTGCCACATATGCAAAAAGAGACTCAAAGCATTGTGGATGCTCTTAAGCTCACTTAAATTTCATGTTGTGTAATACTCGAGATGTACAATTGAATTATTCTGGTTTAAGAGAAGTATAATTAAAATGGTATGAAAAGTTAAAGAATTATTTTTTTAAAAAAAATATTTAAACGTTTACTTAAATTTGTCGATATTAGTCTTATTCTATCTTGTAACTAGCATGGTATAAAAAGTTAAAGAAATATTACTTTAATAAAAAAAACTATATCATATTTTGTTTGAATTTTGTATTTTCGAAGTAAGTTTCACAAATTTAGTCTTAATTAAAATTTAGAGTTATTTCTTCAATTGATTTAAAAATAAAATCTTTAGTATGATAAAGTATTGATGAATGTTGGATTTAAAAATAAAAATATATAAAAATTAAATACAACTAGGTGGCCATTCAAAAAAATTTTAAAAAATAATTAGAGATTTTTGAATATCCTAACCGAACTGAAAAGAACTGAACCAAATCGAATCAAAAAATAAAAATATTCGAACCGATCCGAACCGATTTTTTGGTAGAATTCCAGAAATTGAATTTAGAAATCTCCGAACTTCGGTACGGTTAATTTCCGGAACTGTACCGACCCATGCTCATCTCTACTATTTTTATTATTATTATTGTTGATGTTTACATTATTATTATTATTATTATTATTATTATTATTATTATTATATACTATTATTATTATTATTTGCATTTTTTTTATTGGTTTGTGGGGAGAGTGGTGGGCCCACTGAACAGCTGGAAAAAGAGGCAATCTCCCTGGTTATGACTGGCCAGCGAGAGAGAGAGAGAGAGAGAGAGAGAGAGAGAGGACACACATTATTATTTATTATTGTTATTGGATTCCATTATGTTTATCTGTGTAGGTACATTGTTTTTATTATTTTAAAAAATAAATTGATTGAGATTTTATTTTTTGCCAAAAAAAAGTGTGTGTAAATTTTGATAATTTGTAAAATTTTATTCTACTTTTTCATTATAATTTTAAAATCTGATTAAATGATTGGTAGATCAATATTTTGATTTATCAGTTATGAAATAAACAAGAAAAACAAATGACTAGTGACCGTGCATATATATATCTATATATATAATTGCTGGCATATAGAATTTAATAAAACATTTAATAAAACCTCCATTCATTTTCCCGCTCATTTTTTCAATTAATGTAGAACCGTTACATTTTACATTAATAAGGTGTAATAATAATTTTAATATAATTTATTCACTACTAACACTAATTGATTACAACTTTACATTAAATAGTATGTGTAAGTTACATACTTATAAAAAGTTGTATTGCAATTTTTTTTTTTTAAAATACTTTTTCTAAAATAAAATATTTTTGTTCTTTTTAAGCAATTTTTATCTAATAAGTTAATTGACATGAGTGTCATAATTAAACACCTTAAAATCACATAAACAAATGTTATAACAATGATAAAAAATAATTGTAATACTTTTCTAACTAATTAATTGTATGGTCTCTCTAAATTACTAAATTATATTAGCCATTAAAATTTATGGCATCAATATAAAGATTCATACGTAAGTTAAATAAATTATATATACATTACACATTTGCATGTAGTTCAAATTTAAAATGTAATACATCAATTATTTAATATAAAATTTGTATATATTGTATACATAAATATAATATATAAATTTTTATTTTTCTTTGTGCATGTACACAGGATGAATACTAGTATATATAATTCGTGAAAATATATTAATTTTCTACAATTCAAAAATTTATGAAAATCCTACAATAGTCTAAACATTTCTCTTGATCAAATTAAAATGCGCATTAATTGTTATTTGTTTTTTCTCTGTCTCAAAATAAATAATTAGTTGTCTAAATTATTTAATTGTTATTGTTATTTGGGTAAAAAAAAAAATGCATGACAAGAGGACTCAACTAAGGAACTACCCTTCAATCTCCGACCGTTCTGTTGCCGGTTGTTTTCTCCGATAGCCTCACCGGAAGCACCCATATCCGGCCACTTGGCCCGTGCACTCAAATTTTAACTTCAAATTGTAAATAATAATTCTTTTATTTTCAAAATATATTCCTATCCATTATTTAATTCTTACTAAAATCATAAAGATGATATTTAGGATTTTTAAATACATATAAATGTACATAAATTATATTAAATATATATTACATCACACAATTGATTAACATGTTTTTTTTAATTTATTTAATTTTTTCTGGACTGGATGAATTGATCATTAAATTTTTTTTCTTTTGGTACAGGGACCTTCTGGTTTCCGGATCCACATGAGAACCGACTAATCCGGAATCGAGCCGGGTAGGACCACAAGGGCGGAAAAGCTCTCCGTCAAGAGTTTTAACACTGCTGCATTCCCAGGGCTCGTACACGAGACCACTGGTTAAGCTGGAAGAGACTCAAACCATCTCATCCAAGCGCTCTTGAGTATTGATCACTAAATATTGAATAAATGAGTATTGTACTTGTTATCTTATTGACAATTAATTACAAATTAATGTAGCAAGATCACAAATTTAGGAGATAAACATATTTGCTGGATAATCCAAATTGCGTGTGACTATAAAATCAAACACTAGAATTGAAGGCATTTTGATGACTACTGGATTCTCATTTGTCTTACATAGAGAGTAGCTGGATAATTGATAAAACATTATTATTGGGATATTATATTGTACCATAATAGAACAATTTTATTTTTTTGTTTTGCATTTTTTTTTTTTTTTGGGACTATATACATTATTGTATTACCAAAGAACATATCACTCATCTAAAAAGGAAAAGAAACAACATTAAATTGAGGAATTATTTTATAATTATCTACCAGTAATCAATCTTGTTCACATGCACAAAATTAAATAAATATTATTAGCTATATGTATGTAATATTAAATTTAAAATCATAAGTTGTATAACCGAACTTCGCATTCAATAAATTTAATAATTAGTAAAAGTAAGCAATACAATGATATATGAATAGCTATATAAATTGCGTAAAATGTAATGAATAATGTAACTTTTACAAATATAAGAAGTTGTTATAGCCTCGTCAAAGTACGTACGTGATGTTAGAAGTGGCTCTTAACGCTAAAGTAGAGATGGCATCACCACAATTCATTGCCACAATCTAAGTCGTAAACAGTGTTGCGTCAATTTTGGCGCAACATTGTAGCCTTAACGCTAAAATTTTATTTTTTCATGTGGCTTAATGTTATTTTCTCTTTCATTTTATGTATTTTATTGTTATATTGTGATAAATAAACGTACACTGCGAAATTCAATATCTCTCCCTTACTTTTTTAATATTTGTCCAATATATTTTAACATTGGTTTAATATATACAAATTATACTTTTTAATGAATATAATATATGCTTTATTTAAAATAATAAAAAAATGAGAATATTCATATTGAGTAAAATGTAGCGCTATATAATGGTTGGAAATGGAACTTACTTTTTGTTTTACTTTATAGTAGAATAAATTTTACACTAAAGTAGATACAAGGGTTGAGTCTGAAGATGACCTTAATACTCAATGAATAATTAATGTTACCCAATACTTACATATTTGAGAAATTTAATGAATAATCATATGTACCTCCCTATATATAAATGTAGAGTTTTTTGAACGCATGTATTGTCAACTTCTAGTGATTCGTAATCAAACGTTTTGAAATGTGGTGCTTCGTATTTGTATGGATCAATTTACGATGGTTCATGTAGACTTGGACTTC